GATCAAGATCAGAATGTTCTTGTCGTAAGCAATAGTTCACATAACAGTTAGATCTTTAGTCACATAACCTCAGAAGTAGTTTAAAACGCCGTGATTTTATGTTAGACTATTGTTAATATAGTCCTAGGGACGTACAAACAAAAATTGCTGGAAGAAGTAGTTACTTCGTTTAGATTAGAAAGTTAAGGAGAACTATGGGCAGTGCATAATGTTAATATGTATAGTTCTAGAATGCTCCCCAGGTAGACATCTACATTAATGGGAATGTAAGAGAACAAGGTAGTTCTGATCTGCTGACAGATTGCGAAGTATTTTAAAAAAGAACGACCAACAGATAGCTACCCTGTGCCTGATCAAAGGCAGCATAAAATTCCGAGGAATCAGAGCATACAGATTAACCAATCTAATTAACCAATTAGAAATACGAACTGCACTAAAAATACCACACGCAATTGGACAAATTCTGGGAGTACTATACAATAGCATGCGAATAAACAATGCATCGGACGACAGGAAGGAAAATAGAAGGCGGATACAAACAAAATATGTAAGTTCATTAGATTTCGTGGTCCGATTGACCAAATAACATCTTTCAATTAATTAATCTTTTTGTAAGGTATCGCTTGAGATAAAAAAGTCAGTGTCACGAGCGGGATTCGAACCCACGACCTTCGGCTAAATACGCCGTTGCTCTACCACTTATCGTGACTTCGATCTACCCAGACACTAATTTTCCGCTCGAGACACTGACTTTTTGATCTCAATCAGTACCTTACATAAATATTAATTAATTGAAAAATATGTAAGGTTATTTACGGACAATGATGTTAAATGAAATTATGCAACGTATCTCACATAAACCCACCACGAACTTAATTTCCATTACGTTCAAAAAGACAAAAAAATAAACGTACTCAAAAAAAATTCTTGCATATTTTTATTACACATTTCCCACTAGGAAGAAAATGGCGAGGCCATTGGGGCTTTAGGCATCTTTGAAGGTTTTCCGGAAGAGTTCGGGATGAAAGGTGTTGTACTAGAGGATAGTCGCCAGGGTTTCAAAGATGCGTTTGTATCGACTTTTTCGAGGACGAATGGGATTTGATAATCTGTGTGGATTGTAAAGTTTATGTGAAGTAAAAAGCTTTGGTCCAAAGGATTTTGAACTGGAATTTTTGAACCCCAAGTTCAATTCCGTATGGCCGGTTGTGCATAGCATTGATATGTAAACTAGGCGTTTATTTTGTAGTGGGAGGGTTTATTTGTTGTCAAATGTTTTTAAATGATTTTTTATGGTTTATTCAGGTCTATTGTTTTAGCTAAATGTGAGGGTTTCAAGTAAGCTTTCTTTAGTCGATGTAAAATCCCAAATAACGGATGATATTGGCTGCTGGGTGAAGAAGAGTATTGTAGTAGTTTGTATGAACGAAAGGGGAAAGGAATTTGGTGGCCAGACACTGATCCTACATATTTTGAAGCAATCTTCCAAGAACGAGACGGTCCTGAAGGTTTCTGATGGCAATAGGTTTGTTAAATGGACGGCGGTATTGTCTACAAATTGAAGAGTGTTATATCAAGATTTACCGAAATATCTACTCTATATAGTAGAAAGAGACTGAGACCAAGTATGCTGCCTTGCGGTACAAGCGGAAGGATCCGATTCGCCCTTGAAAATACCTATCACCCAGATAAGATTTTAAGATGAAATAATAAGTGAATGGAAGGATACCCTTGAATTTCCAGAACAAGCCGGATGTCACACTAGATCGAAGGTTTGACTCACGTCTAGGAAAGCACCTTCGAAAAAGGAAAGGGTGAGAGGGTCTATCCCTCTTTGAAACTTGTATTTTTTTACGAGGGTTTGCAACAGCAGAGGTCATATAAACCCTCAGGGTGCCGGTGTTTTTGAAAAAAGCCCATTTATAAGTATGTCGGGTTGGAATGCAGGGCCGCTGGATTCGAACCCGGGACCTTTACCGTACTGTGATGAGCGCCGTGTCAACGACACAACCTTGCGGCCACCGACGCCCCCGAAACTGTTGTATGGGATGGATATATGTGTTTTAGGAAGTTTTTTTTTCCTTTTTTGAAGGATTATGCCAAGTAAGGGTAACAAACTGGGTAGGATATCATGTAAGGAGATGGTGTGTTTTTAAGGTTTTGGAATGGGTTTTATGATCCCTTAAAATCTTAGAAATTTCATTGAAGTATATTAAAAACTCGTAAAGAGAAATATCACAAAGACCGATAATGCTTAAAATGTCTAAAACGGCGAGGATAGCCGGTTCAGTATGATTGTAAACAACTGCTGGTTTAAATATCAGGCTTGCTTAAGTTTTAAGACAATAAATGTCCAAAGTTCCTTTTACAAATTTAAAAGAAAATCTTACTTAGATCAATCGAAAGAAAAGTCTCATTATCTAAATTACAAGAAGCCACTGGCTCAGGATGAAAACACATTGTTATTTTCAGTGAAAAAGTTCGCCCGACGAACATGAAATAACAACTGTCCGCACAGTCCTCTCATATATTTTAATAACTTTCTGTAGGGCTTGAAAAAACTTTTCCACGCCGTAATTGAGCGACGTGAGATGTTTGGAATATTAGCGAAAAACTGGAAAATTTATACAAAACGCCAAGTGGAAAATGCCATACCGGTTATAAAAAATTAAAAAACAAGGTTATTTTTTAAACCCAATTCAACCTTTAATTATACGGAAGCTAACTGTGATTACCAATTAACTCTTTATTACATAAATTAGTTCCGCTCCTGGCATCCTCGGCGTCTTTTTCCAACCGATCCTCTGCTTGGCGCTGGATCAAAACATTTATCAAACATGAAATAAAACCTCCCTCATTAAACAGACACAAAAGAGTTATAATGTTCCCTTACACTTAGAAGGCCCACATTTCATAACTTCGAAATTGTTTTTGGCCATCAGTCTTACACTATGTCGGAATTAATCTTGCAAGGAGGGTAAATATTTAGATGGCACTATATATCAACTATTATCTCGTTCTATATATCACATTACAGTTTAGTCTAGGAAAGGGCAAAAATGTAGAATGTCATGCTCTGTATAAATCATATTTATACAGATTCAATATAGTTCATATCAAAACAATATATTAAGAACAACTAAGAACATTTTTTAATTTTCATCAAAAATAGTGCAAGTCGTTCTATTTTATCTCCTTCACTTTTATTAGAAAGCCATAAAGTTCGGTCGATAAACCTATATATATAAAGCTATATATATAAGCTAATAAGATCATATATATAAAGCTAATATGAAGAAATCACCTGATAGAGGAAATAACTAAAGAAATATTGCNGAAAGATCAGTCCAAGCACAAGTTTCCAGGCACCTTGAACAGTCCCTCACTCTTCTCTCCTCTCTAAACTCGAATCTTGTTCCTTCTCCGCCAGCACCATCCGTTGGTTCCACTCCTACCTTACCAATCTCCACCAAGCTGTCTCCCTTCCCAATGGCCTTACCTCCTCCTTCCTCCCTCTAAAATCTGGGGTGCCCCAAGGCTCTAGCATCTCTCCTATCCTTTTTTCCATTTATATCAATGATCTGCCCGACTTCATCCAGTCCTGTAACTATCACCTATATGCCAATGACTCCCAAATTTACATATCCTTCCACCCTTCCGATCTTCACTCGGCCACTCTCAAGATCCAAAAAGACCTAAACTCCATCAACGAATGGGCCCATAAAAATTCCCTAGTCCTCAATCCGTCCAAATCCACCGCCATAATTATCGGGTCCAGGCAACTCCTCAATTCCCTCCCCTGCATCCCACCTCTCATGCTAAATAACCATCCCATCCCCATCTGCTCTTCGGTTAAAAACCTAGGTTAAAAACATTTCCCAAATTTCCCGCCATTCCATTGCCTCCCTCAGCCTGTTCGTCGGTCCTGGCTTCTCTTACCTTTCTCCACCCGCAAACTCCTTGTATCTTCCCTTATATAAGAAGGGAAGTTTCTTCGATTATAGCTGTTTGGCATACGGTGGTCTCTCGGAGGGGGAGAACGCACGATTGAAGCGTGTTATGAATTGTTGCGTAAGATTTGTGTACGGCACCCCACGTGGATCCCGGGTGTCGGGGTTGTATTTCCAACTTTCCTGGCTATTCCCCTCCTTCCGTGCACAGTATTTCCTAGGTTGCTTTCTTTTCCAGTCCATCCACACTCGTCGTCCTCCTTACATCTTCCAATCCCTCCAATTCAACTCCTTACATCTCACTCGTAAGAACCCGCTCATCCCCAATCGATCTTATCCTCCCGCAACATACAACCCATACCTTCGAAAGATCCTTTCTGATCCGAGCCCCTAAACTCTGGAACTCCCTGCCTCCTTTTCCTCCTTTAAATCCCACCGGTATAATCACCTCCTCTCCCTCCAAGCAGAGACCTCACGTTAACATTTGTTATTTTTGTTTAATATTCTCATTTTTTTTCTTCTGTCCTGCCTTATTGGTATACATTGTGCCAAGATTTCTATATTTATTTTTTTTTTACTTTTAACTTCATAGAAGGAACATCCTTTATTTAGTTCATGTAAATTATTCTTAGGGGACACTAGTCCCAGAATAAAGTTATTTTTCTTCTTCTTCTTCTTAAAATAAAAATAATTAATTTTCCTTAAAATTGTCTTAAAAAATTAAATTTAAATTTGTCGCTTGAAATTTATTCTCATTTAATTAAAAACCTACAAAATAATATTTTTGGCAACAAAAGCTACACTTAGTCAACGGAGAAGGAAATATTTATCTACCGTTATACATGATAAGCAAGGGTACCGGTTTAGGTCATCAGACTCGTATTTGCCTTGCTAGTGACTCGAATCTCAGGATATCTCATAACTTTTTAATTCATCATAATATGAAAAAATATTGTTAAGCCTGATGCCCTGTATGACACAAATTACTTTACTTACTATTTCTTATACAATAAGTACATCAAGAGTTGGTAATATACCGTTTTGTTACAGAGCCCTTTACCGCCCCAATATGTCATGTGGTTCCACAACGAGAAGATGGTCAATTACGAAGATGGAACGCAGACGAAGAGCAGGGTACAGGTGATGACTGACGTCGGCACAGAAAAGACCCACAGCAGACTGGTCATCACAGAAGCGACCTCATCCCATTCTGGCAACTATACGTGCAGAGCGAGCAACACAGAGCCCGACTCTGTATATGTTTTCGTTTCAACAGGTAACCGACAAATACCGTATTTCAGCCGAATGGAATTTAAAAAAAAAGGATATATTTTATGATTAAAAGTTCAAACCAACAGAAACTGCACGATTTCGGTTGGTGACATTTCTTTTTTGTCGTTGTTTTTACTTTAACTTTTATCATAAAATAATAACTAAATATGGCGCGGTATAGCAAAAAAGGTTGTGTGGTCAAAAGTACGGCGTTTAGTCTAGGCTAAACCGTCAAAACTGTTCGGCCTTGCCGAACTATATATCTAGCAATTTGTCATTTTAATCATCCTGAGGGTTCATTTTACCTGTAGTTAATATACCCTCGTAAAAAAGTGTATTGCAACTCTGCTGACGGATTAGTATCAAAGCAAAAACATAAACATTATAAACATAAAAATGACCCCGCTGGTAACTAATGCAATAAGGAAGAAGAAACTTCAACCCATGTTATGTTTGAAAGCGAAAAAACACCTCAATAAAGAACCAAGCGTACCAATGTGGCTCGGAAAAACGATTACAGCACTAACAGTCACTGACCTACTTCTTTCAGATAAAGGATCGAGTTGAACTAAGGAACTACGAAAATTATGGAATTTAAAAAAAGGATATAATTTATGATTAAAAGTTCAAATCAACAGAAACTGCACGATTGGTGACATTTCTTTTTTGTCGTTGTTTTTACTTTAACTTTTACCATAAAATAATAACTAATTTGGGGCGTCGATAACAGTAACGGTTTAGTGGTTGACAGGGCGCTCATCACTGTGAGGTTAAGGTCCCGGGTTTGGAGACAGAGGCCGTTTACTCTTCCGTCTCATTTTAAAATGGATATGTTTTTTGGCTACATACAAAAATTCAGGGGGTTAAATTAGTTTATGTTATTATAGGTTAAATTATGTTAGGGTTAAATTGGGATTACGGACGAATTAGATTAGATTACCTCACTTCAGGTCCTCTTACTTTTACCAATAAATCACTTAAATAACTGGCTGAAAGTATTAAAATGAAACTATCATACGCAAATAATACGAATAATGTAATAATCCCATTAACCAAAATAAACTCTGTTAATTTAGATTAAACTGAAGAAAAGAAATTATTTAAAAAATTGCCATAATTGTGACCTTATTGGTGAAATACTAAATAGATTTGCATAATTACGTAAATCAATTAAATCACTTCAACTGGGGTTCAGTTAATCCGCAGAAAGAGGTCACAACCTCTCAACCTTATCTGGTGGAGAAAATCGACCTCATTTCTATAAATTTATCTTTAGAACCTTTTGGCTAAATGTATTGTATATTTTCTTTAATAGTTTGTTAACTGCTCTGTATCCGTTATACGTGGTTTGTATTGTTTTGAGTCCGTTTTTGTATTTCCCTTTTGTCAGTAGTATCGTATTATCGTTTAAGGACAGGACCAATTAATGACCGACTGTAACAATTAAAACAACCCAGACTCAATCCCCAAGGCACAGACAAAGAAAGAAAACGCTGTCACACACACGCCCTAATAAAAAAGACCTGACTTAATAGAATCACACAAATACATTGAAGATTGCGAAAGGCGTCTGACAGATCAACTCAACCAGTATAGGCCCGTCAGGATGATTGCAGAGGTCACCTTGATTTTTTTTTCAAAAACAAATAAACAAGTAAAAATACTAGAGAGTACTAGAGAGGTTATCACCCCGCAGTACACAAAAGGAAATCTGACGATGATGACCTCTGTTGAAATCGAACTTACATATACTGCAGACTACATATACTTATGCAATTTCTGTACAATGAATTAATATGTTTATGAGCCTAGCGATTTCATATAAACTGTTTGCTTGCGGGAGAACTTTGAATGTTCACTGACAATATTTGTGTACCATAGCTCAATGCACAATCTTAAGATTGACTCGTGTTGGTTTTCCCTAAATGCTTCCTTTATCAAGAAAAGTGTGATAATTCTGAGCCGGCTTGTTTTTATTAATTTGTTATAGGTATTATTAAGCTGTTAGACTTTGGATTAGACTTAAATAAATTCAATCAATTTTACGATGTAATTATAAAACTGTTCAAGCCAGCAAGTTAACCCATCCAATTTTTTTAGAATGTTTCAATTCTATGCTGAGAAAACTCCTTCGTCCAATTAAAAATTATGCCTTTTATCTTAAAGTCCCCTCTCCCTGAAAAAGACATAATTCTGCGTTGTCCCTGAAAATTAACGAAGAAACTACGATTTTAAGCCGAGTTGGCTCGGTTTTCACCATCAGTTTAAATCGTCGTTTTTATTAGAGTGCTGAAGATTCATTAACTGTCCAATCTTCGGACAATATCTGTCCTTTAAACCTTTCGGTTAATCCTCTTTAATCTCCTTAAAGGTGACCTAAGTAGTTTCTTGTACTGTCCTCGTACAAGGACTAAGTCTGACAGGAAAAATATTTTACATTTAAACAAGAAGTTTTCTTCGTCAATTGTATTCCTACGTTAGACAAATTTATTTCGATATAGAAGAAAGATGAAGGCATAATATACAACACAGCAAAATAATATACACACAAACTAAACGACACCTACATACATATATAAAGAAAGAGATATACAAACTAACCGTTCTATTTAATAAATATAAACATGAACCGCACTAATAACAACAAACACAAATGGATTTTGGATACTACAAAAATAATTCAGCGAGAAACGACCACTGAACAAATTCAGAAAATTCAGAGAATGTATTGTAAGCATTAAAACCCGTCTTTGTCAGATTCACTCTGGACTCCGAATCGTATAGACACTTAAAAATCGAATCCTTGTGTAAAGTTAGAGTTTATATTAAATAAATGTTATTTTAAAAAAATTAGTTTCTTACATCGAAAATAAAGTTATGGTTTCGATNTATATATATATTGACATGTGAATTCGGATTTTAAAAAATGCATAGGACAGGTAGACAGGAAAATAAAAGTACAAATATCATATATAAGGGCATAATAAAACGTTATTTAATAAAAAATAAATAATATTATTAATATATTACAATATTGACACTTAAAAGTTACAAATATAAAGGGCACAGTGTATCAAATATAAAAGTAGTACAAAAACGGCGCTTAGTCTAGGGTAAACCGTCAAAACCGTTCGGTCTTGCCGAACTATGTATCTAATAATTTTTCATTTGAAAAAATGTATTTAAGTAAATTACAAATGGGCTTTTATTCAATACACCTGCAGGGTTCATATAACCGCTTAGTTAAAATACGCTCATAATTAAAGTATTGCAACTCTGCTGATGGATTAGTATCTAAGCAAAAAATGAATTCGTTGAGGTATTTTGTTTTATTTTGTAAATATCATTATTAATATTATATTATTATATTGATACTTAAAATAGATAAATATAAAGGACAGTGTATTAAAAAAATTGTGTGGACAAAAATGCGGCGTCTAATCTAGGCTAAACAATCAAAACCGTTCCGTCTTGCCAAACTATATATCTAGTAATTTTTCAATTTAAAAAAATGTATGTATGTAACTTACAAATGGGCTTATAAAAAAAACACCTGCACCATGAGGGTTCATATAACCTCTTAGTTAAAATAGCCTCGTAATAAAAACGTATTGCAACTCTGCTCACGGATTCAAGTAAAAAATGAAGTCGTTGAGGTTTTTTTTTTTTTTAAATATTTTCATTAATAATCATGAATATCATTACTACTATATTGCTAAGTACATTTTTTAAATTTATTTATTAAAACTGGTCTTATTAGACCAATAATTTTACAATAATACATATAGAATAAATAAATGTCACAAAAATTTTAATTAACTGAGGCACTCCTGAATTTATTGTTTTTAATGCTGAATATTGATCTTTTTGTTTGACAATCTTTTGTCTCAAATGTCTGTCAGTTAGGTAGAATTGACAGTATCTATTTACTGTTTTGGTAGCATTCGTTTTAGCAGAGATGAGTTCTTCATCCCAGAACTTGTCAAAAGCTTATGAGACATCATGGAAGAACAAATTTGTTTTTCTTCAAGTGAGTTTGCTATTACGACTGTTGGTCTATTGTTTAATGTTTTATTCTGTTAAGTAATAACTTTTAAAAGAGCTTAGAGACAGTTGATAGTAGCGACATTGTTCTGCATGATTTCACCTCGCTCACCGTTTTCCCGGGTTTTTTATCATAATGAAATATGTAGACATATTTCCGGATGCTGGAAACATAATTCAATCTGATAGCAGTGTTAAATAGATATGTTAGTTTAACTATCCTAATTTTTTTAGTATTTCTCCTAGTGCTAAGGTAACTTTTAATTTCTTGCTATTTCTTTAGGTGCTTTTCAACAAGCCATAACGTTTCTTTGGCTACTATTCTTCTCTTTCACTTGAATTGGTAGTGTGAAATTCTTTTCAGTCTGGCTCGGAGTTGATTTTTGTTCCTTTCCAGTTAAAGACATAATATAGGACTTTTTTTGTAGGATCATTTATGTAATTCCTGATAACATTTGAGCTCTTGGGTAAGTTGAAATTGAAGGGCATATATTATTCTTCCCCATATTTTCAATCTTTTCCTAACCGGTCAGAATGGGGCTTGGAGTAGATTAGGTAAGGGGGAAAGGGGCAAGAGTAAGGTTTTGAACGCTCTGAATTTTTCCATGTTCGTTCCAAATAATAAGCGTTACCCCTACGTCTTTCTGCTGACAGAGCGATCCTTACGTAGTATAGCTGGCCTACTTCTGGTGCAATTTCCAATTTATTTTCGCTACTTACAACATTTAAATTGATTTTTAAGTTAGTAACGCTACACATCATTGGTACCGTCCTCTACCCAGTGGCGAAGTTTCAGGTTAGTTGTATTAAGTAATTAGAATAAACCATCGGAAAAAAAACTTTTGAAGAGCGAAACAAAACACGATCTCGTTAAACGCCATTGCGCGATTCTAAAACTGATAAAGATAAACGGCACGGTGTATTAAAAAAAATTGTGTAGACAAAAGTTCGGCGTTTAGTCTAGGTAAAACGGTCAACACCGTTTGGTATTGCCGAACTATATATCTAGTAATTTTTCATTTTAATCATCCGCAATGTTAATATAACCTCGCAGCTAAAATACCCTAAACCGTCAGAACCGTTCGGTCTTCCCGAATTATATATCATGTATTTTTTTTCTTTTAATCTTCCTGAGGGTTCAATACAAGTATTGCAACTCTGATGACGGATTAGTATCCAAGCAAAAAATGCTGTCGTTGAGGTATTTTGTTTAATTTTGTAAATATCTTTATTAATGTACACGATTATATAGGTACTATATTATCATTATATAGCATTTTGTTTTATTTCATAAATATCTTTATTAATGAACGTGGATATTATAATATTCTATTGGTATTAAAAGTGCCGCGGTATATAAAAAAAAGTTGTTTGGTCAAAAGTACGGCGTTTAGTCTAGGCTAAACCGTCAGAACCGTTCGGTCTTCCCGAATTATATATCTAGTATGTATTTTTTTTTCTTGTAATCTTCCTGAGGGTTCGCATAACCACGTAGTAAAAAGACCCTCTTTAAAAAAAGTGTATGCAAATCTGATGACGGATTAGTATCCAAGCAAAAAATGCTGTCGTTGAGGTATTTTGATTAATTTTGTAAATATCTTTATTAATGTACACGATTATGTACATATAATATTATCATTATATAGTATTTTGTTTTATTTTATCAATATTTTTACTAATGAACGTGGATATTATTCTATTGGTATTAAAAATGATAAATATGGCGCTAAAAAAAGTAAAAAATAAAAATGGTGTATAAAAAAATGTTGTTTGGTCAAAAGTACGGCGTTTAGTCTAGGCTAAACCGTCAAAACTGTTCGGCCATGCCGAACTATATATCTAGTCATTTGTCATTGTAATCATCCTGAGGGTTCATTTTACCTGTAGTTAATATACCCTCGTAAAAAAGTGTATGTTGCAACTCTGTTGACGGATTAGTATCCAAGCAAAAACATACTGTCATTATATACATAAAAATGGCCCTGCTGGTAACTAATGCAATAAGGAGGAAGAAACTTCAACCCATGTTATGTTTGAAAGCGAAGTAACACCTCAGTAAAGAACCAAGCGTACCAATGTGGCTCGGAAAGACGATTACAGCGCTTACAGTCACTGACCTACTTCTTTAAGATGAAGAATTGAGATGAACTAAGGAACTACGAAAATTATGGTAAGTCAATAGACTGTTTGAGCTAACCCCTGCTTCAAAATATCATCATCTTCAAATAGTACTGTTCATCTGTAGGATACTATCACCTAGGAGGTCACTGGTTGTCCGCCTAATTTTGGTTGTTACCCACCAAAAACAAATCAATTTCAAGATATAATTGAAAATTTTACCGTGTTTCAGATGGAGACAATATCGCAGCTATTCAAAGACAGGACGCATCGGAAGGCCTGATGCCGAGTACAATCCTACTGATCACCTTTGTCAGCCTTTCTTTAACTCTATGGTAAGCAGCAACGTTGTTATACCAAATAATATTGTTTTTAAACTTAAAGTCTAGATTATAAGCATTGTTTTTAAACAATATTTAGTATTGTTACGTAAATGTTACGGATCATTGCTTTGGGAAAAACTGTATATGCTGTAACGCGTTCACATATCAATGCCTCAACGTTTCTTCCACACAAAAACTCCAATGATGATTCTATTCCAGAAAATCGTCGTACCAATTTATTTATTGTACTCAAAATCTATTGAAAATAATAAAATCAAAGAAATAGAACGTGAACGGAAAAAGTATAAATGAACGATAAGATTCTAATTCTAGACATTTAGTATGTTGTCACTTTCAAGTTCAAAAGTTTCAAATTCTCCTGTTCATGATTGAAAATAAAATATGACGGATAAATACTACTTAAAATTAATTAATTTTTATAAATTCCCTCGCTTCTGATCATCACTCCGCAAACTTTTAACTTGAAATACCCGTCCCTAAACCTACCTAAATACCTGTCCATCCCATAATCCTAAACCTCCCTTACCTTCCCTAGCCTAACAACGCCTCGAACAATAAATCAAACCCTTCTTAACCTAACCAAACCCGACCCCTAAACAAATCCTCATAGATCAGAGAGTCAAGAAGCCCTCAAAGCCTTAGCCCTTAAAAAAGTCACATTCAAAATGATCAGTGAAGGCATCCAAAATCTCTAAACCCAGGGAAAACACATCAACCAGACAATATCTTGGATGCCAGAACTCAAAGGATTTCCGGATGATAAAAAAGCAGACAAATTGGCCAGAGGAGAATCAGCAAAACCATAATAGGTATTTCTCCAGAACCTATACTTGGGATAACAAGAATAAACACAGACTCCTCCATCTCACAACGGGTCTACAAAAAACAAAAAGAGAAGTTGCCAAACTCCATTAGCGTCAGACATCGTAAATTCATAATTAAAGAACCCTCACCAAAAATGGCAAGCATATTGTTACAGTTAGACTGGGTATAACTCAAGGGAATCATAGGGCGACATACAGATCACTGGAATTTCAGAAAGCGGATGTATTCAATGATGACACCGTTCGTAGGTATACAGATATTATGCAGCATTAATAGCAACGTCCTATTACTTCTTAAAAGAAGCCTGGAAACAGTTGAACCTAAAAAACTAGAAAAAACAATAAGCTGCTGTGCTTTGGGAATTCAAAACCCCCGCTTCGTTTTCACCATCATCATCCTCGTCCGCCAGCCCTTGCGTCTTGTCAACTATCAGACGCTTTTTTGTTTTTATTTCTTTTCGTTAAGTTAACAGCTTGCAGTTCTCGTTTTTACGGGGTAGGCAGCTTTAAAATATGTTAAGATTAAGAAGATTTTCATTAAGCCTAAGCTCTGAACAAAGGAAAGGCTTTCCAAATAAAATTTGATTCTGGTCGAAGTGGGATTATAATTTAATATTCTAATTTTATAAACAATCGACCTCGAATTAATTTCTTATTGCCTATTTACATATACAAAACTCATCGTTTTGTAAACACAAATGGCTATAATTGAATAAAAAATTGATTAAATATTATTTATTTGGGATGGATAGTGAATCAGGGTTCTAATCGATCAGCTGAGAGATTTTTATCAATTGCTAAGCTCTCCAGTTATAGTTGCCCTTTCTCAGGGTAGAGATATAATGTTTATTTATAAAATACAATAAAAACAATCATTAATAAATGAGTAAACAGTCTGCATACGTCTTTTTTCGATGAATATACATATTTAAGTAAGATATTGTAAACAAATCATTTTTAAAGATTTTTCAAGTCAAAACATTCACTTCGCGGAAAAACATTGATTGATATGCAAGGTAACCTATCTAACCAAAGCGAGCTTTATCCCTAACTACGTAAACCTAGATGAACTATCTCGCTTTTTGAAGATTAAAAAAAGAAAGATATTTTCATTTACTTCCTTCCCTAACCTAACCACACCTGTTCTTAACCATAATTCAGAAACTACCTAAACATAAACAAACTACCGCGTATTTACAAAGAGCAAAAGAAAGATATTTTCATTTACCTCCTACCTAACCTAATCAAATCTGCCCCAAACATAACCATAACCTTATCAAAATAAGACCCTAACCTTACCTAACTTAACCTAACCAAACTTTAACTCTACTTAACCTAAATCCGTCTTTAACTATAACCCTACCTAGCCTAACCCACTCCCCGATAACGTGAAATCGATGACGGGAAAATGGTTACGCCTATCTTGCCCAAAAGCATATCCATGTTAACTTAAACCATTTCTCCCAAATCCAGCTTTAAAAACTGTTAGTACTTATAGTTAGATCATTTCCATTCGGCCTAAATAAACCAAAATCCCAATCGCCACCATAAAATTATTCCGGATTATAATTTCATATAATTTTCCAAGCAATCGACCACAAATTCTCGTTTTTTGTTGTTAAACATGCATCTCATCAAAAAAACGTCTTTGACTTCTATATTTAAACTAAATTCATGTTTGTAAATCTATTCAGTACGCATGAAATGACTTACAAAAATAATTTAAATTAACTGGATGAATAAGTCCCAAGAAGTTATTTTTACTCATTTATTTACTGATTTACTATCTTTCACAAGAAAACGAGAAGAAAATTATTTCAATAAATTAAACTTATAAAAAGCTGAAACATGTGATAAGATATAAAGGGTTCAAAAAAATAGGTTGATGGCCAGAGTAATCAGAGACAATCAGGCTGCTGTTCAAGGCAACACAATTTTTAAATTTGGAATAAATTTAATTTTATCCCAATTTTGAGTCTAATTAGAACGCTTAAAACGAAAAATTCTTCATGGCAGTTGAAGTTGAGTAAAGGACAAAGAGGGGCTCATTATAGCTGTCAGGGTCGTCGCAGGTGGCTGTGATGCGCTTAGCTGCGGAACTCGAGTTGACGTCGTATATATCTCTCTTCTTATTCCCTCATCCCTCTCTTCCTTGATCCCTCATCCCTTTCCCCCTTGGACCCTCATACCACTCCCTACGCCGTTCAGATTGTTCGCCTAGATAACTCCGCGTGCAAGAAATACCCTAATATATAGTCCCTTCCTCAGCTACCAATATTTACAACAGAGATAAGATTGATGGTGGCCTATTAATATTAATGCGGAATGTATTTTCCCGGTTAAACCTTCCTATTTTACTTTTTTCCTCGACTCGGCGTTTCTCTAAAACCGGATAAAGCGCGATGGCTTGATGTATGAAACCGTCTAATCTCGATTCGGACAGGCTTAGTTAAGTCTAGCCGGGTGAAGAAATAATTTTTATGATTTCAGAAGAGACTCTGTCATCGGCCTTACACTTTTCTAATAAATTTAGCACAATAATTTGTGTGGTGATTAGTGACCGTTAATCGATAATTATTCAGAAATCGTGAGATGCGATCTGGTGTGATGTAGGTGTCAGAAAAACATTTTCTTTATCGTGCCAACGTTTCGATCTTTATTGAGATCATCTTCAGGGCTCAAAGTGTTTGTCTTCTGTGTAATTGTGCCATTCTTGCGTGTCATGTTTAGAGTGCCCACTCAACACGACACGCAAGAATGGCACAATTACACAGAAGACAAACACTTTGAGCCCTGAAGATGATCTCAATAAAGATCGAAACGTTGGCACGATAAAGAAAATGTTTTTCTGACACCTACATCACACCAGATCCCATCTCACGATTTCTGAATAACAATATTTGTTGCAATATTTCAAAATGCAAAAATTGGCAGGTGGCTCAAGATTTCTCAAGATTAAATTGTGATATGTAATTACAATAAACTACATTACCATTAATGATGACAAATGTAATAAATAAAATGCGTTCTACTTTAGATATCATTAGATAAATGATGGGTTAGCTCACCGAAGACATTCCACGATAAGATCTCAATCTTGCCCAAGCACTACTCCGTATCACTCAATAACTACATATTATTTTCTTATGTCGTTGCTTAAGTCATTTGAGTCATTTTTCGGAGATGTTGCCCAATATGAGCACTCCTTGACACTGAAACCTCATCGGTAATTTTCGCTGAGAAGGTCCCGAGGCCACTTTCGGTTTTCTTGGACGATTTTCTGATAGCTAAGAGGTTGATGTAATTTTTACAACTGGTATTGATTAGGTCAGGTACAAACGGAGGTTAAGGACATTATGAATAATATAATTAGAAACATAAAAGGGAGCGATTAGAATTTAACGGATAATTTCGAACTGAATAGGTTGAAGAAGTTGTTAATTGGAATCCTTGGTTGAGCCACAGATTTCACAACCGTACGCTCAAAGAGGGGTCTTTGTCTTATCAATTAAAACTTTCTATTCAATATCAAATTTTCATCGTAAGTCAAGTAGTCTTTTCAGTCATTTATAACGTCGGTTTAATTCTTGTCTTTATAGTCTTCTGTGAGGATAAAAAACAATGGTTTGTGCATGAGACGTCAATGAGCAAGAATGTACAAAAGTATGTCATATGTGTAAGGCTTAATGGTAAGTACTGTGAATCCATTTATGTATTTTTACAGTTTTAATTGAGATTATTTCCATATTCCATTTTTTGATTTATCCCATTTTGCCGGACCAACAGTAGCAAATAGCAAATACCATCTGTGGCGGGTGGACTTCCGGGGAGGAATGGGCACAACCCGTATAGGTGGGCCTACGAATCCCCTGGACACCCAAGGGGAGAGACTGACCACCTCTCCCCCTGAATTCACCCATGTGGACCTGAGAATGAACAGCTTCAATCTGAGGTGTGTGCCGGGCGGTCACACAACCTCGGATTCCTCCGAGAACTGGTCGGGATGGGTGGTCGATTCGTTCGACGCCTGAACGGCCATCTCGTCTCTTTTTTCTACCCAGAAGAGCCATAACGATCAAATGTGGGACTACGGTGATAATGGGTGGTACAGTGTTGCCAAGGCTGGGGGGTGCAACCTGAAAAGGTGAGTCTCGTGTCCTCGGTCAC